TGTGTATGAATATTTGTCTGCATGTATGGAAGTATAATGCATGCATGCCCAGTGCCCACAGAGGTCAGAAGAGGGTGCTAGATCCCTGGAACTAGGGTTATGGACAGTTTTAAGCCACCCTGTGTGGGCTGGAATCCGAGCCCAGGCGCTCTGCAAGAGCAGCAAGTGCTTTTAACCACTGAGCCTTCTCTTCAGCCCCTAGTGTGGCAGTTTTATTCATTGCATCCTCAGTGTTGTGTACATGCACGGAATTTAGCAGTGATTTGCTGAACAAATGCCTATGTATAGGAAAGCTATTGGCCTGCTTTCCATATTGGAATCTCCTTTGCTCATCTTCCAATTCATCATCATTTGTTGTGACCAGCCTATGTTTCAAGACTAGCATCTTAGCCAGATGTGCTGACACACACCTGTAGCTGCAACACCAGGAGATAGAAGCAGAGGACCAGGAGATTGAGACCAGCATCAGCTACACAGGACCTATCTCAAAACAAAACAGATACAGACACACACACACACACACACACACACACACACACACACAAAAAAAAAAAAAAAAAAAAAAACAAAAAACTAGCTTCTCGAACTGGGTCAGGATTCTAAGTGAAAGCCCCTTCCTTCGTTTCTTTCTCGAGAGTTTAAGTTCCTAACTTTAGCTGGGATGGGAGAAAGGAAAGACAATGTAAATAGTTGGACAGAAAATTTTCAAATCATAAGGCTTAAGCTTGCTTTAATTTTATTAGAAAGTAGCTTTATGAAAAAATAAATCACTGAAAATTTAAGTTCAATGAAAATTTAAAATCAATGAAAAATTAAGATGTGGCAAATTTGAGAAAAATTTAGAGTATATACGATAGAATTGTTACAATATATAGCTAAGTAGATTTTTGCTGGTTTGTGTTGTTGTTGTGTTGTGTTTTGTTTTTAACCATACTGCTTAAGAAATCTGAAGAACACTCTTAAAGATGATGTGTTTGGGGCCACATAACTGTGTTTGCAGATCTTGCATTACGATGTTTGGTTGAAACCTATGCTGCCAGTTTTGAGGAAAGGAATGAAGAGCCTTTAGCCAAACGCGTACGGAACGATAGAAGAGACCAGGAAAGTAGCACTTTGTCCAAGGAAGAAAGTGAAGCAAATGCCCCGGAGACGTGGGCCCCCGTGGCTGGCATTGTCATTGCGCTCTGCTGTCACCACAGGTGTGACTGGAGACACTATGTGGGCAAAGAGTACTTCAGGGCTCTGGGCCTTGGGCCGGAGGAGTTCTACTATTTCCAGAGAATGAGTAGTTGGGCAACGTGTGGAATGAGAAGGACATCTTTGGGAGCCTCAGATATCACTACAAAGAGAAAAGATGATCAGAATTACGACAACGAAGAGCATGATGACGGAGGAGACAGACTCCCAGATGGCAGCACTGATAGTGTGCCTGGGTGAGTGACAACTTTTAGAATGCACCACACTGAAGGGGAGTGAGTATTTTATTACCATAAGGGAGCCCCCTTGTCAGCTCCTGTGGGCGACATTTCAGGACCTCCCACAGATGCCTAGAACCTTAGATAAATCAGAACTCTGCGTGTTAGCATTGCAGTTACCTCCCCTGTTGATCTAATAACCAAGATGGTTCCACAGTGACTAGTGAGTGAGTAACATGCAGTGTGGATATTCTAGACATGATCATGTGCTAGGCAAAGGTTCATTCCCAGGTAGGAAGGAGTTGGGTAAGGGTGGCGTTGCCAGTGGTTCATTCTGGGAATTTTCCTCTTAATATTTTCAGACTGTGATAGACCTTAAGCAAGAGATACCAGAGAAAATGAAATTGAATTGTTGCTTCTTAGTCATTTGGCTAAGATCAAGTATAGAAAGTGAAACTGACTAGGAAGAAGGATTCTTTTTTCAGATGACTGCTATCAACAATTTAGACCAGAAAGTACAGTTTACAATCTAATTTTGGAGTAGGCTAAAACACATTTTTTAAATTAATACTTATTTATTTTATGTATATGGTGCTCTATCTACATGTACACCTGTGTGCCAGAAGAGGGCATCAGATCCCATTATAGATGGCTGTAAGCCACCATATGGTTGCTGGGAATTAAACTCAGGACCTCTGGAAGAGCAGTCAGTGCTCTTAACCTCTTAGCCACCTCTCCAGCCCGCTAAAACACATTTGAATTGCGATCATCTTGTCTTGACAAAGTCTGGGAAGCAGCAGACACAGCACCTGCTCTGCTTGCTTCTTAGCAGCGTCCTAGTGGACGGCAGGGACCAGCTTCCTAGGAACTTTTACAAGCTTTAACTCTCTGTGTTTATTCACCGTAGAGCTCTTACTGCTGAAGAAAAGAAGGATATAGGACATCTTTGCAAACTGCTGATTGACCAAGGCCGACTCCAGTATTTACAGCAGAAAGGCTTCCGTCCTGCCTTACAGTACTACACAGACCCGTTGGTGTCTCTGGAGAACGTATTATTAACTGCTGTACCAGCTCATCTGTCATCGCAGGAAGCAGCGCAGTAACAGGAAAGAAGTGTGAACGTCACAGTCGTCTCAAACAAAAAATTTAAATTATATTTTTATATTCACAAAAATATAAATAGCAGGTTTTTTGTTTTGGTTTTTGTGTGTATATGTCTTTGTTTTTTTTTTTACTTCCAAAGTCCAGAGGATTCACCAAGTTCTCCCAAGTATTCCTTTTCAGCAGGGCCCTTTGAATTACTTTATCCATCAGAGTGTATAGAGATTGGCAGAGTCAGACCGTTGACTTGGTCATCTGAAACACATATAATACATCAACATACATAATACAATTGCAGTATAAACTATGTGTATTCTGGGAAATTTATCTTTGGTTTTATTTGATATGTTTTATTTTTTGAACTCCAATTATAATAACCAATGCCAGTTTGTATCAAGGGTCAGTCTGAGTGTGGGGCTTTTTTCAGAATGGGTCTAGAAAGAATACTTGCAATTTTCTCAAATGCAGACAAATTTAGAAATGTAGGAATTGGTAAATGACATCACCATTGAAGTTCCAGAGCCATACCTGGATTTGTGCTCTGTCTGTTCATGACTCCAGAACCGAAGAGATGATTTCAAGGGGAAAATAATCTTACTTTAGGTCTTTGTTGGGTAATTATCTAGTGCAAACTTCTAAAGAAGGTTGCTTGTAAACAAATCACTAATCAAATTTGAAAGTTGCATTGTAGCTTCTAAAGTTAATTCAGTACCTTTCACCAGCCTCTTATGTATAAATGTAACGATAAAAAAAAGTAGGTTTTCTCCTGTTTGGGAAAATAATTAGTTTTTGTTTGTACGTTCTGAGACAGGGTCTTATTTGCTAATCCTTGGCCAGCCTGGAACTCAGAGATACTCCTGCCTCTTCCTTCCAAGTGCTGGGATCAATATCATGTGCCCATGCCAGCAGAAAAAGTAATTTGGATTAAAGTACAAATTAGATAATGAAACCAAAACCTCACATTTAGGCTTTACATAACTGATAAGTAGTTTCTATGCACAAGCAAATATTAAACCAGATATGTCATAAGAATATTCCTCTTCCACATCTTACCTTGGATTTGCTTCTACATTTGTAAACATTAGTTGTTGGTAAATTGGCAAAGAGGAAGATTCAGAATCACTGACTTTAGATATTAGAATGACACTGGGATCACTGTCTGTATTTGGTAGGCCTATCACTAAGGAGAAGCCAAACACCCTTACCTCCTGGCCTTTCTGTTTTAATTGAATCTCGTGTGTTGTTGGATTGCCTAGGTTTAAATTCCAACCCTACCACCTCAGCTGGCAAGTTACTTCATCTCTTTGTGCCTCGATTTTCTCCTCTTAAAATAGCGATGATGATAACAGTTATAAAACCTACCTCACACGGTTGTGTGTATCACTTGAGGTATCACAGGTAAACCAATTTGAATGGCTCCAAGCACAGAGTAAATACTAACTAGATATAATAATAATTCATGATCATTTTAATATAATAGGCTTTTATTATTTTTTATTTAAGTTGTTGCTTTTTTCCTTGTATTTTGTCAAATATTGTTAACATATTATTTTTAAGTTAATTACTCAGATTCCCCAATCAAGAGAACATAAATGAAGATAATTCATTGTTTAAGAATTATCCTTATGTCATAAATGTCATTTTTATCACAAAATTTGTTTTGCATCATTAAAAATTTATGTCCAGGACTAGAGCGATGGCTCAGTGGTTAAGCGCACCACCTGCTCTTCCAGAGGTCCTAAGTTCAATTCCCAGCAACCACATGGTAGTTCACAACCATCTCTAGTGGGATGATGCCCTCTTCTGGCATAAAATCATACATGCAGATAGAACACTGATACATTAAGTATTTTTTTTAAATCTATGTCCATAAATAAAAAATAATCTACAATGGGTATAATCTTGGTTGTGTGTCAGGAGACATACAGCACATCCCAGAATTATACTGATACAGTCCTATGAGCCATTTAGTTCAATCATTTGTTCTGATAATGGTTCTGAGTACATTACAGGGAAATAAGTTTGTCCTTCCAGTGCTGATCTTAAGTCAAGATTACAGTTTTTCCAACCTTGTCTTTTCTTACCTCACATAAAGAATGTGAACTAGCACTTGTTAAGGCGTTATTTCTTGGATTTCACATCCACAGTTACATAAACTCAATGCTAAAATTGCACCTCATCCTCAGTCTCTCCCTCCTCATTCTGCCTATCCAGATCCAGTACCTGACTCCCCAGTGGAATACTGCTGTCCAGTTGTACCAGATGGAAACAGATTCTCCTAAACACCGTTTTTCCGTAATTATGCTGTCTCCTGCTTGGCCCTGATGCATTATCCTCTCTTCCAAAACTAGGCCACAAATCGTTTTGAACTTGGTTGCCAGCCATTCCCAGCTCGTCTTCACAACCTACAGTAGCAGCAGTGGCTCCTTCTGAAGAGAACATTGCTAAGCAGCCTCTGGATATCAGGGAGGGTCCCCTAGAGGAAAGGCTAGTTACTGTGGTTGCACTCCTTTTCAAAGTAACTGGTACATGGAGTGAGTTAAAATCTCCCCTTTCCATCCATGGCTCTTTACATTTGTACTAATTACAAAGCCAGGGCTTCTGTTTCTATGCTGTTACTTCACTGCCTTTATTAACAAGATAGTGTTCTTTGCCTTATTCCTCTGGTTTTAATTTTAAAACTTCTTTCTTGATTATAGAAATGTTTAACTCTAAATTATGAGATGAAGTGTTTTTAATCTGTATATTATGCCTCATTCCAACTGTGGAATAAAGTCCATGTTCTCAATGTTTTTCACCCCCAAGTCAAATTATTTTTTAATTATTCCTTGTAGATTATAGAAAAAAAACGGGATGGCCAGCCTGGTCTACAAAACGAGTTCCAGGAAAAGCGCAAAACTAAACAGAAACCCTGTCTCGAAAAACCAAAAAAAAAAAAAAAAAAAAAAACCAGAATGATGAGGAAGGTGTGTTTGTGCTCCAGATGGCATGTCTGCCACTTGATTAAAAAGAAAAAAAAGGTCAGGCAGTGGTGTTGCACGCCTTTAATCCCAGCACTCAGGCAGAGGCAGGCAAATCTCTGGGTTCAAGGCCAGCCTGGTCTACTGAGTGAGTTCCAGGACAGGCTCCAAGAACTACACAGAGAAATCCTGTCTCAAGCCCCCCCACCCCCCAAAAAAAGAAGAAAGAAAAAAAGTAATGATTCTTTAAGAATCTGGGGGCTCTACTTTCTTTATCATAGAGCCTTTGTCCAGTGACTGATGGAGGCAGATACAGAGATCCATGGCCAGGCACCAGGCTGAGCTCTGGAAATCCAATCAATGAGAGAGAGGAGGGATTCTGCAGGCGAGGGACTTCGAGATCATGATGGGAAGATGTGCAGATGACCAGCCTCACTGGTGGAAGCCCATGAACTGTAGACTAGTGGCTGTGAAGCCCCCATGGGACTGGACTAGACTGGATATGGAAGACGGTTGTTTGGCTTGAACTGTTTGGGGGGCACCCATGCAGGGGGATCGGGATCCATCCCTGGTGCATGGGCAGGCTTTTGGGAGCCCAGTGCCTGTGGTGTGACGCCTTGTGCAGCCTTGGTGCAGTGGGGAGGGGCTTGGACCTGCCTAGGCTCAGTGTGCCGGGCTCTGCTGACTCCCCATGGGAGGGCTAGGGGGTGGGAGGAGAGAGATGTGATCTGTGGGTGGTATGTAGAGTGAATAGAAAATTTCTTAATAAAGAAAAAAAAAAAGAATCTGGGGGCTGGAGAGATGGCTCAGTGGTTAAGAGCACTGGCTGCTTTTCCGCAGGACCTTAAATTCCCCACACCCACATGATAGCTAACAACTCTCTTAACTCCAGTTCCAAGGGTTCTGATGCCCTCTTCTGGATTCTGAAGGTACTGCATGTACATGCTGCATGGACATACGTGCAGGCAAAACACCCATACACATAAAATCAATTAACTAAAATCTAGGCCAAGGGTGTAGCTGTAGCTCAGCAACAGGGCACTTGCTGTGGATTTGAGCCCCAGCACTGGAGAATCATGTTTACAGAGAGGAACCAGGAGAAGTACGGGTTCCTTCACTTGATTATGTAGTGAATGCAGCGGAGGAAGTATTTCCTTGATTCCATTTGAAAGACTATCTTTACAGCCTCTCTCCTAGTTCCTACCAGAATTATGACTAGACAAAACTCATTTCCCCCTCTTAAGTGTTGGCCAATTTGATGGAAAAGACAAGATAGAATGAGAAATCCATAAAAGAATTAATGGAAAGATAGAACTTAATTGTATACACATTCTCTTCCAAAAATATTTAATCTGTGTTGTGTGTGTGTGTGTGTGTGTGTGTGTGTGTGTGTGTGTGTGTGTGTATATATTTACTTTTTATTTATTTTTTTTCAAGACAGGGTTTCTCTGTGTAGCTTTGGTGCCTGTCCTGGAACTCACTCTGTAGCCCAGGCTGGCCTTGAACTCACAGAGATCCACCTGGCTCTGCCTCCCGAATGCTGGAATTAAAGGCATGTGCCACCACCGCCCGGCTCTGTGTTGTATATTGTGAAGGCTGCATAAGGGGGTGATTTGACCACGGGTGTGGTTACTAGGTGTTTGGAAGGGTTGGCTGTGCAGTGTGCTTTGATCTAGCAAGGGGGAGGTCTTTTGCCCCGCCCCTTGGCATTGTTATAAAAAGAGATAAAGGGTTTTGATGCAGGTCCTCCTGAAGCTATCCTGTGTTTCTGTCTTTCTCCTCTTCGCTATCTTTCTATCTAAAAGTTTCTTATCCCTCTCTCCTCCTCATAGGAACTGTTTTAAGAGGTGGGAGCTGGCCTCCCACAATACATAAATCTCCTACCTGTTCGCCGTGACTCTTGGATGTATGCACGCATGAACTGAAGCCCAAACAGCTCCTGTTCCTCCTCTCCTTCTGCGCAGTCACTGGGAGGAAGCGTCACTTCCAGTCTCAGCGGGTTGTCTCGGAAGTTGACAAACCTAGCAGTTGACCAGAAACACAGTAGTTTTGGGTGCCATAGAAGTGCATGTACATTTACTTCCCTGGGAAAAGATCAAGTGACAGTCTACAGAATTACTATTTTCAACTGTTTTCAATAACTGATTATCTTGCTGGAAGCCAATATACCCCAAGAAGAGACAGTGTTTCGCCCCAAAGCTTACAAAGACAACTATTAGTTCATAACATGTATTTAGTGCGATGAGAGCAAGTTGTATCATAAATCTCCGACTAATGCTATGACGATAGTTTGTGCCTGTTTTTATGGATCAATGCCTCAGTCATCAAGTACAAAACTGAAGTTGCCGGATAAGTCAATGTATGAACGGTTTTTGTTGTGGAGGTTCTGAATTTGGGTATCCAATTGCCTCATTCCATCAGAAAATGACATTCTGGAGAGAATTTTATTCCTGTTCTAATAAGTAGCAAAAAAAAAAAAAAAAAAAAGTCTGCTTTCTGTAGGCTAATATAGTTACCTGTGCCTATTTGTAGTTATTCAGAAGGAAACTGGTCACTATTTTATTCTTTTGATTTTTGTATTGCAAAGCGTTGGTTAGCAGTATAAAGAGAATTTTCATGATATTGTCACCAACAAAAGACCGTTCTTTAAACTGATAAACCCCTGTACCATTTTAGTTTCAAGAATTATTTCTTGAATAAGCTAGACTGGTGTTATGTGAGTCACACTCATGAAAATTTTTAAGCATTGGAATATATGGTTTTTTTTTGAATGAAGGAATAAAATTGACTTTATTCAGAGCGAAAGTTGTTGCATTCATAGAAAATCCTGAAGGGCCAAAAAAAAAAAAAAAAAAATCCTTGGACTGGGTGATTCCCGAGATATAATGTTAATATACAAAGTCAAATGGATTTTTATATAATGAGGTGAGCAATATAATGAAGAATGAAAACATAGACAATGGACTTAAGACTGTATATAATAACACAAGACATGAAATATTCATGGAATTTAAACATGTGCAAAGCCTGCAGACTGGAAAATACAAAACACTGCTGAGAGAATTTAAAGTCTAAATACGTGGTATATTCCATGTTTCAAGGTAAAATTGGTCAAAAATGGATCGCATTGGAATATATGTTTAAAATATATACACTCAAGCTGGAGAAATAGCTCAATAGTTAAGAGCACTGGCTGCTCTTACAGAGGATCTAAGTTCAATTCCTGGCATCCACATGGCAGCCCAACCCTCTGTGACTCCAGTTCCAAGAGATCCAATGCTCTCCTCTGGCCTCCACGGGCACCTGGCACACAAGTGGTGTGCAGGTAAAACACCCATACACAAAAGGAAAATTTAAATACACAAATATGCAGTCATATAAATCACAACCCCAATGGGTCGGTCAGGGTCTGTAGTCCTTCATTCTGCTCCCAGGAGTAAGTGTGCCATGCTGTAACCACACCCCTTTACCTCAGATTCGTCATTTCTTCCATGCAGCCTGGAATATCTTGCAGTTTATTGTTGCTGAGGACAAGAGTCCCCAAGTTTTTCATATTTCTGATGGTTTCTGGCAGGCAAGTTATTTCATTCCTCTGTAGCCACAATGTATGTAAACTTTGCATTCTGGAAAATAGAAGGCTGCAATCAGTTTTCACCTTGAATATGAAAAGCTGGCCTCATCGTATCATAACATTTAACATTCGGGTTTTTTAATTAATGTAATAATTTAGTTATTAATTATTTACCATTTAATAAAAATGTAGTTACTGGTTTGACAGACTTCATTCTTTCTTATTACCGGATTGCCAGGGAAACTACATCAGGGAATTGATTATAAAGACTAGCTTTCATGCAGTGGCAGAAATGAAAATGTTTACACTGCATGTTTTTCACAGTTTTCTAAATGAACAGCTGTAAGTGTCACATAATATGAATCTTAAAAATCAGGAACTGATTTGATTCTGGGCAAGGCAGTAAGTATGGACTCAGGTCAAGATTCCTAGGTTCAAATCCGATTAATGTCACTCACTGAGCCTTGGGCATAAGTGACAAACATCTCTGCATCGGTCCCCTCACTCTTTAGTAGCGCATGCAGAGGTGCCTGGCATGCACTAAGCGGTGTGATTACTGTGGCATATTCTTGGTAATGTCTTGAAAGCAATTTGTTTTCCCTTCCCCAAATCCTCTTACATATTTAGAATAAATGTAAATAACCCCCTGGAAGATTACATTTTGAACTAATTGGGTCTTTTATGATTACTATGGGCTCCTAGTTGTTGGGTATATTGTTTCTTATTTTTTCATAGGTGGCTTTGAATTGTCGGTAGCATCAATTTTACCTTTCTAGACTGTCAGGAAGTTGTTGAAGGCTGTTGCTTCCCATATCCAGCCACTCAAGGGCAGGCATGTTCAACACAGCAAGAGGGATTGTAGTGAAGTGGTTCATACTCAGATCAAGGTGGGTGAGTCTTAACAGCTTGCTAAGCTAAAAAGGAAAGTGGGCTTTTTAAATAGTTGTCCACAATGTACATTACTAGAAGAATCACACTGGTAAACTATTTCACATAAAAAGTTCATATTGCACGAGCTTTATATAACTAGCAGTCCACAAATCACACATAAAACTGAATAACTTCTGGCATTACACTTGAGCTGTGTTTAGACACAGGAGTCCACAATAAATTAAAATATAAGGCTAACAGAAGCTGGGCATGGTGGTACATGCCTGTAATCCCAGAGACAGAGGGCAGGGGGAAAAAAGGCAGGTGTGATGGTGCATGCCTTCCATCCCAGCACTAGAGCCAAAGGCAGCCGAGTTGAAGGCCATCATGGTCTACACAGTGTGTTCCAAGACAGTCACAGCTACACAATAGACCCTGTCTCAAAAAAACAACAACAAAAACAAAAAACAAAACACCCTGGGTAGTCCTGGCTCCCAGTAAAATGAAATGAAAATCTTTTATTCAAAGACAATTTGTCTTCCAAGATAACCAAGTTCTAGGGTTAATAGGATCTGTGTGGCAAAAGCATCCCCCACCTCAGGAAGCATTTCTCATGTTTATTTTCAGCCAGCGACTGAGAATTATAAGGGAAAACTTTAACAGTTGCCTTACTGACTTACTCACATTCACTGTCTCAAACATCGAGCTCACTCCATAATAATTCTGGTTTAAAGTGCAATGAGTGACTGCGGATCTTATACCACACAGCACAGTACTCAGCTGAAGAAGAAGAATGTGTTACTGTGGCAATCCTGTCACCCTGCTTCTCAGAGCTAGTGCCTGTCCCGAATTTCGTATCTGTCATGACTATGTCTTTTATATTTTGTTACTATATGGAAATATTTGCCTTTCTAAGTAATATTTTTTTTCATGGAATGTATTATTTTATGGTTCTCACATTTGAGGATTATATTGGACTGGCTTTTTAGAGCACTGGAGTTAAAGGTCTGTGCCTGGATTCTCTCACCAGTTTTATAATGTATTCATGGTAATGCTTAGAGCTCTGTATTTTTTTAATCTAAAAATATTGATTATTGGGGCTGGAGATGGCTCAGCAGTTAAGAGCACTGGCTGCTCTTCCAGAGGACCCTGGTTCAATTCCAAGCACCCACAGGGCGGCTCACAACTGTCTGTAACTCCAGTTCCAGGGCACCTGACATCCACACACAGACATACATACAGGCAAAGCACGGATGCACGTAAAAAATAGTATCTATTAAGTTATTTCTGTTCTCTACTTTTTTTTTTTTTTTTTGGTTTTTTTTCGAGACAGGGTTTCTTTGTGTAGCTTTGCGCCTTTCCTGGAACTCACTTGGTAGACCAGGCTGGCCTCGAACTCACAGAGATCCGCCTGCCTCTGCCTCCCGAGTGCTGGGATTAAAGGCGTGCGCCACCACCGCCCGGCCTGTTCTCTACTTTTATTTGAGAAAACTATGTGATTAGCCCACAGTTGTACTTAAATAAGTGAATAATTATGACAGCAGCCACACAAAGGCAGTGTCATTATTTCTGTTTTATGAATAAAATGACTCAGAGAGTTCATGGAACTCGATGAACTCAAGCTGTTATAGACCTAAAGCCACAAAATCCCTTCCTCTTTATCCTACTGGAAGTTTTAAGATATAAGAACTTAATTAACATTTACAAAACAAACTAAACAGCCTACCCACTTGGCCGCCAAGGTTCTGTATTTTGGGTTTGTTTTGTTTTATTTGGTTTTGGTTTTGGTTTTTCGAGACAGGTTTTCTCTGTGTAGCTTTGCGGAACTCACTCTTTAGCCCAGGCTGGCCTCGAACTCACAGAGATCTGCCTGGCTCTGCCTCCCGAGGGCTGGGATTAAAGGTATGAGCCACCACCGCCCGGTGGTTCTGTATTTTGAATTCCTTCTGTACCATCTGCACCAAGAAATACACAAATACAGTGTTTTGTAGTTAGTGCAAAAAAGCAGGATGAGGGAGCTGAGGAGATGGCTTAGGAGATAAGCTGCTCGCTGTGTAGGCCCTGAGTTTGGATTCTCAGCACTTAAGTGAAAAGCTGTATGTGTAGCATATCTGAAACCCCAGCGCTGGGAAGCAGAAACAGAAGGGTCTAAGGGGGTCGTGATTGGGAAAGAAACCTGAGGACATCTGGCCTATATACACACACACACACACACACACACACACACACACACACACACACACAGGTACATATGTGCACACAGACACAGGAAGCTGCATGATTCCATCTAGTAGGCAATGCTGTTTCTCCAGCTTTTTAATTGAAGCCATGAGTGAAAATGCATTTCTGAAAACTGTTATCAGACTTTTCAAATTTTCAGATGATTCATTGTGGAGTATAAAAAAGTGTTTGTGTAGCTGGGCGGTGGTGGCGCACGCCTTTAATCCCAGCACTCGGGAGGCAGAGCCAGGCGGATATCTGTGAGTTCGAGGCCAGCCTGGGCTACCAAGTGAGCTCCAGGAAAGGCGCAAAGCTACGCAGAGAAACCCTGTCTCAAAAAACCAAAAAAAAAAAAAAAAAAAAAATGTTTGTGTTAACAGGTACATATACTAATGAGGTAGGTACAATTTAATGTCTGACAGAAAAATCTTCAGCTGCTGACCCCTCAGTAGTACTAAAACCCTTTTTGTTGTTGTTTTGTTTTTTCTGAGGCATGTTCAAACTCTGTAGCTTTGGCTAGCCTGTAACCTGCCATGTAGACCAGGCTAGCTGAGAACTCAAAGAGCTCTAGCTGCCTCTGCCCCCCAAGTGCACACTATCTAGACTCTTTTCATTATAGAATATGGAAAAGATAATAAATCTGTCTGGCAGCCTTATATGTGAAAATAGAAATCTAATATCAGAGGGTGTGTCCAAGGATACATAGATACTTAGAGGACACACTGTGGCATTAAATGGTCTTTGGGTCAGATCTCGGGATAGTATTTCTAATATTTTAGTAGCAGTTTCCCCTGAAATTGAAACATTCCATCCTGCAGGGAAGCTCTGTAGGCCATCAGGTAAATAACTCTACTTAGCTCCAGGAAGTACCTGAAACTGACCGGATTCAGTAGGGTCCTTCTTCCCCAGAGTGAACTACGGAGACGGCTGAGAGTCACTCTGAGACAAGCCAAGAAGCAAGGAAGGTGAGACTCTGAGACCAGACCAGCGGCCTGGAAGAGGTTTAGACTAAATTTGTCACTTGGAAAGGACACTCCAACTTGTAGAGAGGCCCGCAGGCTACTTAGTGTGCTCCAGGTTCCCAGCTTTGTGAGCTGTCACCCATGCTGGGGTGGGCTTTGGTGATGCAGCTGTCCGGGAGTCATTTTTGCTCCTGTGAGTAACTTCTCATCATCCATATTCCTGTAAGCAGCCCCAATAAAACTCATGCTTCACCAAGTTGGACTGTGGTGTTATCTGTATTTTGGTCTGTCATGGGCTCCCTTTCTGGGGTGAGTAGACATGTGTGTTGTGTCTCCCCAGGAAAAGTCTTGTCATATGACAGTGACCTGTCTCCTAGAGAATCTAAGGTGAAGAGAATGGTTAATGACATGTCCAAGTTCACATAGTTTGTTAGTGACAGAGCCTATCCTAGAAACAAAATGACGTTTTAGAAAACACGCATACCGGCCTTCCTACACGTATAAATTGTCCCTATCACCATTTCCTTCATGTTTTCATTAAAATAATCTAACGTGATGAAACACATAAGCTATGTTTGCCAGAGCAAACCGGGAGGAGTTGACTATTACTAGTAACACGCCCAGTGGTTTGGGAAAGAAAACTCTGATACACTCAGAAAATAAAGTAAGAAAATGAAACTCTACCTTCTGTTTTATTTTATTCTTCTTCTTAACTTTGGTCTTGTAAAGTCGTGTTTTCAAGGCAGAAAAAGTGTAGACATTTCTTGCTGATTCTAAGCATTAGTTTGTTTGAAAGGTGACACAGATGTCTTTGTCAGTTTAATTTAACCAACGACAAGACACCAAATCAAGGGCAAGAGCCTTTCCAACCTGCTAGCTTACTTTTTACTTGGAAAAGCCTAGGATGCCAGCATGCAGCACACTTCCTACAATTCATGTCATACTCTTTGTCTATTTCAGGACTGTGAGCATGCTATAAAAATCAACTAGGAAAAGAGACTTTCTATTTTCTCATTGTTCTTCATAGCAATTACATGCATATTCATTCAAAAAAGCATGAAGTGGATTCCAATTCACAGACACCATGTACACCTCTAATCCCAGCACTCAAAAAGCTAAGGAGTGAGAATTGAGAGATCGAGGCCAGCCTTGACTAAATAGGGAGTTTAAGGTCACAACACCCTGCACTGTGAGACTATGCCTCACAACAGACAGACAGACAGACAGACAGACAGAAAAGCTTCAAGGGCCAGGGATATGGTTCAGTAGCAGAGCGTCTGCTCAGCATGCATGCGACCCTGGCTTCAATCCCTAGCAGTGCCAAAATAATCAAGCATGTATGAGTAACCACTACAGGAACCCAGGCTTCTCCTTATTGTGGGAATATTAAATTAAATAAAGTTCTGTCTTCTCTCCACAGAGATAAGCCCAGTCAACAAATAAATAATGCAGAACAGTGCCAGCAAGAGAGGAGCCTTGTATGCCAAGTAGAGTTGGTTCTAAGAAAAGACTTGCCTTCTGGTAGAAAGTGCTTTTCACTAAGTATTTCTTTCCTAAAATAAAATTCATAACACTGCTTCACAAGTTTTTTGTTTGCTGTTTCCCCCCGCCCCCCCCCCAATAATCACATGCCCGAGAAGCAAACTATTAGTAGATGCCAACAAAACAGACATTTAGACCTTCTGACCTCCGGAGGGAGGTCGCTTATATCTCTGTTCACAGCCAGTTCCAGCTTCTCCAAGCTGGCACAGTTGCTCAGCTCTTTGGGGACAGTCTTGATTTTGTTGTAGCTAAGAATCAGTTCCTGCAGTCTAGTGAGCAGTCCTGCATAATTAAAAACAACAGCAACAATAAATACTAATAATACACAATAGGAAGCAGATGGACTTGGGGTTTCCTGCTTACATACTTAAATTACTTGCATATTGGCAAATTCAGTTGTTCCCTTCTTCCCTTTTCCCATCTTTAAACCAGGGGCCCGTTGATCGTGCTGTAGGAGGAAAGGCAGTGGTATTTTCATGCTGCTTTATCTATACTCCGTATCCTTGATCAAGGTGGCTATGGATGGTACAGAGCCTGCCTAGCCTGTACCAGACCCTGGGTAATGGGACACTAGCCCACTCTGTGGCTCTGGCAGGCCTTGCCCTTCTCCCCATAACCTCTGCCTTGCTAAACACCATCAGATGACATTCCTAAAACTAGCCACCAAGGTCGGTTCCCTTATTTGAGCACTTCCTCCTCCTGGGGCTGACTACTGAAATCCAGCTATCAAAAACCCCTTTGGTTCACCTAACTAAGATGCCCAATTAAAATTAAACACCTCATCCTAACACGGGGTTTCCCATTTTACCTCTACAAATCGCCATTTGCCTATGGGCCACATCTGTCTCCTCTCTATCCAGAGGCAGTCCTGTGTCCCTCAGGACCCCTGCCCTCTTCCCCTCGCCCCTCCAGGACAAGCACCCCTGCCCTCCTTCCCCTCCCCTGCCCCCTTCCCCTCCCCTGTCCCCTCCCCTCGCCCCTCCAGGACAAACACCCCTGCCCCGTTCCCCTTCCCCCTCAGCCCTCTCCCACCACATCCTAGCCCATTCTAAAAAACACAGACCTCCCCTTTTTCTCTTAAAAATTATGCCTGTAAGGCCATTTGCTGCTGTTTTCTGCCCGAGTCCCCACTTAATAAAGGATCTCTCTGTGAAAACAGGTGTTTGGGTATAGTTTGTACCTAATCAGGGGTCACGGAGGGAGCCCCGCTGGGCAGGAGTCCCCTTCACTGGGCTTGATCTCCAACCCCAAACCCCCAAACAGAACACTACACCCTGAGCAATTTTTCATTTGGGAACATTTTCCCACCGTCTAATGAATCTCCCGCCCCCCCTTTATTGCCCCAAGTGTGTTCTAAGATAAATAGTTAAACCAGCAATATTGTTTTCAAAATATACAGGATATTTCCAAAAGCTTTTATCAATTGAAATCTTATCTAATGCCCAGTTTAAGTTTGAATCCCCTGAAGCATTAAGTTAGATGAAATGTTTAAAATTTTCTCAGGCTTCAGTATAAGGTTTTTATTCCATGTATTTTAAGAGGGGGAGGGAAGTTAAAAAAAAAAAGCCCATTTGTCAGGTAGATAAAATAGCACAGGAATAAAAGCAATAGTCCTTACCAATTCCTCGGGGGATCTCTGAAATTGTGTTTCGAGATAAGTCTAGCACAATGAGATTCTGGAATCTTCCAATGAATTCAGGGATTTTCAGCAAGCCCGTCCTATGAAGTTGCCATTCTTGTAGTTGACTCAGTTTCAGTAGAGAAGAAGGAAGAGTCTAAAGTAAAATGTGTGTACAATCATTACATGGCCTGGATTATTCCAGCCTTGTCCTGCTCTGCTTTGATGAGATGGCCTGGATTATTCTACATTGTCCTGCTCTGCTGTGATGAGATGGCCTGGATTATTCCAGCCTTGTCCTGCTCTGCTGTGATGAGATGGCCTGGATTATTCTACATTGTCCTGCTCTGCTGTGATGAGATGGGATTTGTAGAAGCACTTGAGGATACTTTTCCCTTCATTGGTGACATTTCCAGGCACTTTGGGCTACTTCTACTACTCAAACCTTGGCTTTTATTATTTTTTAATTGTTAAAAAAATTATTCTCAGTTTTATACAAGTTATTATTTACTTCATCATTTATTACTAAATCTTTAAGTCTCAACCATAGCAGAATAAACAAAACTATATATTCTGGCCAGTAATGGACACACATAGATGTCTGTCCTAATGAATGATTCTGTTGTGTTTATCAGACTATCCAAGAGCACATACAGAATTAAAAATGAGAATATTCCAAAAAATCACTTTGGTGATTTGAATTTCTCTTCCACTTCTTTTATTAAGTACTTTAGATATTTGTTTGTTTTGAGGGAGGGTCTCTCTACAGAGCCCTGGATGTCCTAGAACTCACAATGTAGACCAGGCTGGCCTGGAACTCAGAGAGATCCACCTGCCTCTGTCTCCCAAGTGCTGGGGTTAAAGGTGTGCACCACCACTTCCAATCTATTTTATGAGGTCTTTTAAAGTTTTTCTTTTCTTTAAACTCTGAACTCTATGCCTTTTCCTTTCAAGCCAAATAGAAAAATAAACTAGGGCCAGGCAGTAGTAGTGCATGCCTTTAATCTCAGCACTCGGGAGGCAGAGGCAGGTGGATCTCTGTGAGTTCGAGGCCAGCCTGGTCTACAGAGCGAGTTCCAGGACAGGCTCCAAAGCTACAGAGAAACCCTGTCTCGAAAAACAAAACAACAACAACAACAACAAAAAATAATAAAATAAAAAAAAAAACAAAAAAGAAAAAGAAAAAAAAAACTAGGAAACTGACCACATAGCTAAAGATAACCCCATGAATGAAAAACCAACACTGATCCAGGGGTTTGAAACCCTTGTAAAAATTAGTCTATCTGATGTAATTGAGCACAGCTGTGCATGTGTGCTCATACCCCTATGAGGGAGAGAAAAATATCAGCCAGGGGGATACCTAACCAGAAATGCCCCCTTCCATTTTGAAGTCTAAACTGCTAGTTTAGCTATGTGATTTGCGTTAGCCTGGTCATCACTGTTATAGAGCACAGTGGACTATCTGCTCATTAGAAGGAGCTAGAGAATAAGTATCACAAGGGATTTGAGTTCAGCTGGGGTGGGAGCAAAGAAACTCTTGGGCAAAAAAAAAAAAATCATGCATTGGCATTTCTTTTCCATTGTTCCTGTTGTCCAAATTCACTTGTGCTATTAAAGAACTTCCAACTCCCCTAGTCTTAAAGACATTCTCAAATCCTCTCAGGTCTTCACTCAGTCCAGAGCGTGGGCAATCAAGAACTGCTTCTAGGGCTCTTACCTTCCACTCTTCTTTTTCTATCTTCAGAATGACTCTCCCATCTTCCCTGGTGACCTTTTCTTTCAGCTTAGTTAAGCTGACCCGGTCTTCCCAGATCCTCACCAGCCTAAGACACAGGACATGTTTTTATTCATAGGTAATAAGTAGCATTCAAAAGGTCCTTCCAAACCACTGACACACAGTGAAAGAAACAGAGACGGTGGGTGAAATCTGAGAGAGCAAAGGCTGAATGGGAAGGGCTGAAGGGAAGAGAGACAAGGGGGAAACAATGTAATTAAATGTGATTTTGCATAAAAGAAAAACTAGAACTAACCACGGAGCCAATGCTAACATGTGCAACAACCTTCCATCTGATTTCCAATCCCACTGGCTCAGTGCTCATAATGGCAGGAAGCAGACAGGCATGGTGATAGCTCCTATTCCCCCGCCCCCAACAGTTCTATTAACTGGGGACCACTCACTCAAACATATGAGTCTACGGCGGTCATTCTCATTCAAACCACCACATCTTCTAAAATCTCTTTCCTGTCCCCGAGCTGGTCTTTTTTGAGGCTCTGACAGCCTCCCATCTTAAGGTGCTGGCCCTTTAATAACCCTGCATTTCTTCACATTAACGCTCTCCTCGCGTGTATTGGCCTTGGAGAGTGAGCTGTGTCTTGGATTTACTAACACTAGGGCTTCAAGGCTGGTTTATTTGTTTTGGTGCTGGGGCTAGCACAGTGCCTTGCACAAACTAAGTTCAGTCCTAAGGCTTTAAAAAGCATCACAATTCTCTCTATATTTTGCTTCTAATAGCATTAGTGAGCTATGATTCACATGCTATAGAATTTAACCTTTTAAAGTATACAAGTCAATGATTTTATCTGTAAATCTACAACATCAAGCAACTATCTCCACTATCTAATTCCAAAAAAAAAAAAATTTTTTTTTTTTGGTTTTTCGAGACAGGGTTTCTCTGTGTAGCTTTGCGCCTTTCCTGGAACTCGCTTTGTAGACCAGGCTGGCCTCGAACTCACAGAGATCCACCTGGCTCTGCCTCCCGAGTGCTAGGATTAAAGGCGTGCACCACCACTGCCGGCTTAATTCCAAAATATTTTATCACTCAAAAATCCCCTTTAGCAGAGTAGCAGTGGCGCATGCTTCTCGAGAAACCCTGTCTCGAGAAAAAAAAAAAAAAAAAAAAAAGAAGAAGAAGGGAAGAAGTAACTTTGGAATGACTAAGCTGCCTCATGTTCTATTATTTCCCCCTTCCCCCCCAGTTCTTAAATCTGTTCTTACTTGCCTTCACAGAACGAGTGCCGCCTGACCCTAGGAGCATCATTCTGCCTATTGAAGATCTTTTGACACAGGAGCTATGGAGACAGCTGAGGTAGTGAAATGGGGACCCTAGTCCAGATCCCTAGCACCAGTGTGAGCCCATGACACATCTGTAACCCCCGAGGAGGGGAGATGGGATGATAAGAGAATGCCCAGGGCTCACTGGGTACCCAGCCTAGCTGAGTCACAAGTTCAGTGAAAGACTCTGTGATGATGATGATGATGATAATAATAACAATAAAAATAATAATGTAGATAGTAACTGAGGAAGGCACCCAGCACTAACCTGCACATGCATTTACATGCTCACCCTCACATGCATACACACATGCACACATACATGCAAATGTATAAGGTGGGGAGTGTCTGAGGAGGAGAGCTGACATCCACCTCTGGCCTCCACTTGCATGTACACATGTACACTTGCCCATGTACACACCCACCTGAACACCTATACACACAACACACACACACACACACATACACACACACATACACACACACACATCTTTAAAATGAATTGCTATTTGACCTTTCACAGGTAGTATATTTTTATTTCTAGGGCTATATTCTTCGGAGAATTGCTGAGGTGTCATATTATAACTTTCCTTTTTTATAATTTTTAAAAATGTATTTTACGTCGGGCTGTGGTGGCGCACGCCTTTAATCCCAGTACTCGGGAGGCAGAGGCAGGTGGATCTCTGTGAGTTCAAGGCCAGTTCCAGGAAAGCGAGTTCCAGGAAAGGCGGAAAGCTACACAGAGAAACCCTGTCTCGAAAAACCAAAAAAAAAATGTATTTTACATACCAACCCCAGCTCCCCTCCCTCCTCTCCTCGTGTTCTCTCTCATGTTGTCACTTTCTAATGAGCCAACAGAACACCACAGCCCCAGCTTCACGTTCTGACTGCCTACTCTCCACAGCTCTTTCTCACTGTGTTTGTTGGTCTCAAACTCATCATCACCCTGCTTCAGCTTCCCAAAGGTTCGGATTACAGGCCTGTGCCACCACACCTGGCAAAACCAAGGTTTATAATGCTAGGAGGTGGTTTGGCAGCGAAATTGTTTTTAAGGTTAATAGAAAGTAGTTTTTTTTTTAAAGATTTATTCATTTATTATGTATACAATGTTCTGCTTCTGCTTGCATATATCCCTTCAGGCCAAAGGAGGGCACCAGATCTCATTATTGATGGTTGTGAGCCACCATGTGGTTCCTGGGAATTGAACTCAGGACCTCTGGAAGAACAGCCAGTGTTCTTAACCTCTGAGCCGTCTCTCCAACCCGTAGTTTTCTTATTGTTGTTGTTGTTTTGTTTTGTTTTGCTTTTGAGATCTAGCTATTTATTTCCTGGATAGATAATCTGAACACTTAGGAGACAGAAGCAGATGGACCTCTGTGAGTCCAAGGCCAGTGTCTCTCTCTCTTTCTCTTACATACACACACACACACACACACACACACACACACACACACACACACACACACACACACTAGCCTAAGATATAAAGGGAGCTAACCTGAGGGCCAAACCACACATGGGAACTGGTAGAGGGAGGTGAATGGGCGCCAAATCTAACAATGTGGAGTCTGTGCTTCGGACACTTTTGCAATTGCCTTCTCCCCAGTTGGAGCCGCTGGAGTTGAACTTCATCTTATTTTTCTTTTTTAAATTGACGGTAGCTATTAGCTATTTGCTATTTGTTTCATGAATGAGAACTGCAGGGAGCCATGTGGTATTCATAAAGAAAGGAGGTATTCCTGCAAGATTAGGTTGAAGGCAACCAATCAGGAAGGTAGGCCAAATGTCAAGATTTCAGAAGCAATGAGAGCCCAATATTAAAATACAGCCCTCCTGTATTAAGAAATCATGGGATCCAGAGGGGCCCTGGCTACAGCTCATGGCCATTTCAGATAGGTTGGGGAATATGTCTGTCTTCTACTGTCAGGTGCACTCTAGGTTTCTAGTGGATATAATCCTGAAAATCAGACTGTCATATAAGCCACACTTCAATGGGTATTAAGCAGGGCTCTGTTTCCACACACAAACATCCTTTTGTTACTCTCAAGACATAGTCCATCTGAGTCAATTATTTCCTTAAGAATAATTTGAGAGGGCTGGAGCAATGGCTCAGTGGTTAAGAGCACTGGCTGCTTTTCCAGAGGACCAGGGTTTGACTCTTCAGCACTCACATGATAGTTGGAAACAATCTGTAATTCCAGTCCCAACGGATCTGACACCCTCTACTGGCCTCTGAGGGTACTTCATGGGAGAGGAATATAGACATGCAGGCAAAACACTCATGCATGCAAAATAATAAAATAATAAAAAAAGAAAACAATTAAAGACTATTTTTAGGGCTGGAGAGATAGTAGTTAAGAGCACTCCATGTTCTTCCAGAGGATCCGGATTCAGTTCCCAGCACCCACATGGCAACTCACAGCTGCCAGTAACATCAGTTCCTAGGGATCCAGTGCCTTCTTCTGGTCTCCATGGGTACTGCACACATGTGGTAGACAGACCTACCTGCAGTCAAACACTCATATACATAAAATAAAAATAAAGTGCCTTCAAGAAGATTATCTTGAGTTCTCAGTAAATAAAAATCTAGCAAATTCAGCAGAGCTCTTACTAAGTGACCTTTTTATAATGATGAAATTATGTTTCCACTAATCTAAGAAAAAATGTCATGGCATACTTGTGCTGAAATTCCTTCTCCCGCTTCACATCTTCATTGTGTTTCTTTATTCTTTCTTCCCAGACTTCCTTGACAGCATTGACGGCCCCAGTACAAACCGCATTTTCTGTCATGATTTTTCCACATTGTAGTCGAGTCATCTACTTCATTAAGTTCTGAAGAGTTGAGTCACAGGCCACCTCAGGAAAGACCTAAGTATGAGAGAGGGGAAGAAGCATCATGTTTCACAATACTCACAAGCACCACCACAATCATGAGAGGCAATGTTTGTTGAGCCTCATTTATTCATTCCTCCACTCACTGTTTATTCAGACAAGGTCCACTGTGCTGCCCTGTTGGGCGTCAGACTCCTGGGTTGAAGCAGCCCTCTCACTTCAGCTTCCCACATAGGTGGCACTACAGGTGCACTCCAGCATGCCCAGATGTTCTACATGTGTTTGCACACCAGCGTGCCCAGCTGTTCTACATGTGTTTGCACGCCAGTGTGCCCAGCTGTTCTACACATGTTTGCGTATCTTATTTTAAACCCGTGTAAGACACAATGTGAGCATTTTGTTGCCTTTGATGCTCCCATGAGGAAAGCAAACCTTAGAAGAGCCCGCGTGGTAGGAGCAGGAGCTGCGGTCCGGTCTTCCTCCTTTGCTACCATGTCATTCATAATAATGAAAACCCACAACTAGACTTGCAGCCAACTATGGGAAAGTTATTAAACAATGGGTACATAAGTCTAGGGCCCTCAAGATGGCTCAGCAGGTAAAGGTGCTTGCCCCCGAGTCTGACAACCTTCAGAGGGTCCAGGCTCCAGCTGTGTCTACCACATAGGCCTTTCACACAAGATTAATTAAACCTATTTTTTAAAAAAAGATGGCTAGAGAGACAGCTCAATGATTAAGAGCATTTGCTCCCCTTCCCAAGGACTGAGTTTGGTTCTCAGCATCCACATCATGAGGCTCCCCACTATCTGTAACTCCAGTTCATGGGGGTCTGATGCCATCTTCTGGCCTCCAAAGGCACACACATGGTATTCAATCTCACAGAAATGTACACATACATATGTTTCAAAAATAATATAATAAATAAATAACTTTTCTAAAAATTCAAGAGAAAGAGTAGGAGAACTATTAGGAAGTAGAAAGTGACTCACAGAGAAGATAGAAAGTTCAGAAGCAAGAGAAGGCCACAGAAGTGTAACTGTGACCAGAGCGTGCTACTTGTATGCATCAACATGTTGTGGTGAAACCCAGTGCTCACACTTAACATGTACTAAAAGAGGAAAGAAAAAAAAAAAAGCAATCAAAGAGGACCAATAAGATGGGGAAAAAAAAAAACCCTGGAAATCCAAATGACAAAAAGACAAAACAAAACAAAAAACCCATAAATTGTACTTAGCTTTAGGATTCTGTAGATTAAACCAAAATAAACTATCTACACACATCCTGTCAGAATGGCTGATAGTAACAGACTGACGCTACCCAGTGTCGGTACAAGTTTGAGTGAGGCATTTCCCCCAGTGCTGTGCGTTGGTGGGGATGTAAATTGGCTGTAACTACTTTGAAGAGCATAGGCGATATACAAGGTCTACACATCCCCTCTCAATAACAGGTAGACTAGGCCTTCACTATGCAATGTGAACAAGTCCCCAACAGTGACTCTTCAAAGGATCAAGATGACGATGACGACGATGACGATGATGATGGCAATAAATAACGAATGCCTCCTGGAAATTTACTTTTCCACGGATTAAAATTACTCAAAGCGCATGGGGGTAGACAGAAAAAGAAACAGAAAAGAGCTGTTGCAAGAAAAAAATTAGGGTTGCTATGTCATTATAAATATGCAGAAAATTACTATGATTAATAGGGTACTATTTCTCAGGAATGCTTGAAGCCCACAGACAGGAATTGAGTGTGAAATCTTTCTGCAGGAAATAAACCATGCCTGTTGGTGGGCTGAGGCAGGAGGATGGTGAATTTGAGACCAGCTTGGAATATATAGCAACATCATGCCAAAATAAGAAGAAAAGAAAGAAGGAAGGAAGGAAGGACAGATGGATAAAAGAAGAAAGGGAGAGATGGTGGGGGAAGAAGCCATAGAGAACATGGATTAATGACCTAATTGCCTGGGCATGTGACCTATAATTTATTGTCTCAGATGTTAATAAAATTGAAGCGAGTTCTAAATACTTTCAACAATATAAAATGAAAATATTTAAAGAATGCATGCTGTCTCTGTATATGCATTGTTTTATTATATATAAACTCACACTTGCTAACTTATTTCATTGTTTGACATGAAATACTGGTCATCTCTAATATTAGTTTTCCTAAAACGACAGATTCAGAAAACAACAAGCTCATAACAACACATTTGTGCATCTAACTGCTTTGTGAGGAAAAGCACTGAGCCAGCAGTGAGGTAAGCATGTTGATACCACGATGGGAGTCTGCTTCCCAAAGTTTAAAAAAAAAAAAAAAAAGCTAGGGAAATGCAATCTTAAATTCTTGCTTGCAGGGAAGCCTATCTCCTACGTTCCCGAGAGTGACAATTATGTGAGTGACAACAACCCCCCTAAAGGACTCTTAAGTTAAACGCAAGTCCAGTACTACATGGGTGCACTTCCACACACAGTGAAGTCATCATTGGCAATTCATTTACGCATAAGGAACGGAGGAAAATTGTTTTGGAACAGCACTCACCGTTGGGGGATGCCGCAGCCAACACACATACCCAGAGGTCCTGATTTTCAGCTAGAAACACGAGGTGATTTTTCTTTCCGGTGTGGATCCAAATGACTGAACTCCTCTGTCGGGCTTTAACAAAGTGAAAAGCAATGTCAGCCTCGTTCTAATTTTAGCCCACGGACAAGGCTGAGAATAGCAAGAATCACATGGGGCTTCTGTGTAAAGGTTCAGCTGATAACGTATGTGAGTGTGGTGTGTGGACAGTGGTAGAAACATGAGGAAACTTTCAGGGAGAACTATTTCATCTTTTTTTTTTTAATTTAATTTTAAAATTTTATGTTTGGGTGTTTTGTGTACATGTATGGTTGTGCACCACATGAATGCAGTGCCCTGCAGGCCAGAAGAAGGCATTGGATCCCCTGGAACTGGAGTTACGGATGGTTGTGAGCCACCATATGGAGGCTGGGAATTGACCCTGGATCTTCTGCAGGAAGAACAAGTGCTCTTAACCACTGTACTGTCTCTCCAGCCCCATGGAGGGAGAACTATCTCTAAGCACTAGAAAATCACCCTTTCTAAGTGTCTTTCCACTTTTCACGACTTATAGCTTGTGTGTATTCAATAGAATGTAATGGATCCATCTGAAGCGAAGCAACCTCACAATACACTGATGTGCAACAGAACAAAGCCGCTACCCTGAACTAAAGGCACCAATGCTTCAGATAAACGAACAAGGAAGGTATGTCGAGGAATCCCAATATGCTGCACCCACGCTTCAGTTTGGGAGCATGCTGGAGACTGAGTCGAGCCATGTTTATCCCCTTACCTCTCAGGTAATTTGAAGCCTGGAGCTTCAAATTTAACTAGCTTTCAGTGTTTATCTCTCAGCTGTCATAGACAGGACTTAATTTCGTGTTCTTAAGAAGTATACATTTAGTTTTTAAACTTCGTATGCCTCTATTCAGGGACAAATTTTAAAAGATAACAAATCTCATTTTTACATTATATCTATGTGTGCACACGCGTGTGCGCGCGCACACACACACACAATTTTTTAGTGCTGAGCTAGAGCAGAGGCTCTTGCATAGACTAGGCAAGCACTCTACCACTGAGCTACATCCACAGCTCTATAGAACTACATATTATCATGTTGTGTGAGCATATATTGTTTTTGTTTGTTTGACAAAATAATTGGGTTTCATTATTTCCCCCCTAGAGACCAGCTAGTCTACATGAGACCCCAGAGACAGAGACAGAGAAAGACTGAGACATACCCATCTTATTTTCCAAAAGCTATGCTAATGCACAGTTCCCATCAGTGTTCTCCTATCCTCCCCAACGGCAGGGTGGAGGGGCGGGGCGACATTCCAAACCCCGCCCTCAGTGCGTCAAGCAGCCCCTCCCTGCAGCTGCCTTCTCCAGATCCCGCCCAAAGAAAGCTGGCCAAAGGTCAGCCCCTCCCCTGGGGCTGCTCAAGACCACGCCTACAGCGTATTTAAGACCTGGTCACCAGATCTGCCAGGTGATTTTCTCTCCTGCCTTTCCCAGAGTTACCTGGAGTTGTTTTGCTCTGTTTATTAAACCTGAACTTATTAATTTGGCTTGCTGGGCTTATCGAATCGGCGGAGTTACCCACTAACAGGGGATATATTTTTTACTTATCAATTACCTTTCATCTGCTCCTCCCACATCCATCCTGAGTGCTAGGATTCAGGCATGTACCACCACACTGGGTTCTACGTGGTGCTTCATGCATGCTAGGCAAGCAATACATCGGCTGAAGTGCATCCCCAGCCCTTTCTTACAGGTTGAATGAGATATTGTGTGTATTAGAAAATTCAAAAGGGATGCTCATGCTGCTTTATATTAGTGGGCTACTTTCAGTTCCACGGAAATAAAAGCGCCACAGAATTAAAAATCTTTCACAAGAAAATTAGCGTGAATTATGTAACATTGCTTTCTGATACTGACCCAACTTTTGAGTAAATTTTTTGATCAATTTCAAAAAACAACTACAATGTTGTTCACATTTCCAAAAACACTATGGAGAACTTTCCTGTCTAATAAAAGTAGAAATTAGGAGAATTTAATTTTTATACTCAGCATCATAAAGTTTATCTTAATTTGTTCCAGAAATACCATTCTACTGAAGATGAAACACATTTCATTCATCTATTTAGTTTTCTATTTATTTATTTATTTATTTATTTATTTATTTATTTATTTATTTATTGTGTATGAGTCGCGTGTATGTTGGCAGTGTCCACAGGGGTCAGAAGAGGGCATCCAATTTCTGGAATTGGAGTTGCAGATGGATGTGAGACACCATGTGAATCCTGGGAATTGAACCCAGGAATCCTCTGCAAGAGAAACAAGTGCTCTTAACTGCTGAATGGCTGCTCCAGCCCCCTGGTTTTCATTTCTTCAGGCGAGGGTCTTTCTGTGTTGTCCCGCTTGTTCTGAAGCCCCTGGGCTCAAATGATTCCTCTTCCTCAGCCTTCTACACAGCCAGGACTGTGGACGCATGCCACTGGCTTTTCTGGTCATTTGTAATAGACACAAAGCTGTAGGAGAAATGATGCTCTTGGGAGCTGGAGTCACGGCTCAGTGGTGAAGAGAGCTTGCCACCCTGCGGGTACCATCCATTTAATTCCATTCTTGCCAGTCCTTTTCATAATCCTGGTCTTTCTGGACTTTGCTTATCGTAATTTGAGACCTATCATGAAAGAGTCCTGAAGCAAACTTTGAGTTATATAGCTTGCCACTCATGCTGTGTCTGTTGGAAGGAGACTGCCTCAACTTACCCAGTATGCGCGAAACCCCACCTTTGCCCAGCTTTCCCATGAGAGAGGGGAGAGAAGGGAGAGAGAAGTTCGTTCCTGACAACTTTCTTTGCGGTTGCTCTTAGAACTTTCTTTGCAGTTGCTTTTAGCAAGTCCACTCGCTCCCACTTCCTTTCCCCATCTCTTGTTACCCAGAGGACAGCTGTTGCCCATGCTTTGAATTGTAACATTTCTCATGACACCATGCAAAAGCCTGATGTAGATGACCTCTTCCTAACAGAGCTGTGCATGTTCATGTCACACTTCAGGGTTTTTAAAAAAATTTTTATATATATATATATATATATATATATATATATATATATATATATATATATTAGATCTTATGTGCAGTGGTGTTTTGCCTGCATGTACATCTGTGTGAGGGTGTCAGATCTTGGAGTTACAGAAAGTAACTGCCATGTGCTAACAGTAACAAGAGCTGCCATGTGGGTGCTGGGATTTGAACCTGGGTCCTCTAGAAAAGCACTTAGTACTCTTAACGGCTGAGCCATCTCTCCAGCCTTCTGGTTTTTCTTTGGACTGTCCTGAATTTTTTTCAATAGGATTTAGCGGAAAAAAGTAACGGTGGAAGAAGAGCTTGGATGGAGGATTTCTGAGGCCTTGGGACACAGTAGGTCCTAATATTAGGTCAGATGGTTTGTAAGGTAGGATTTACGAGGTAGGTTAGAATTAAGGGAAGATCTAATGATCCGATCTTAGTTTTTAAAAAAGTGTGGGAAAGGAACAAAACCATTGTTTTCTGTTTGGGGTTGCTATAACAGAATACTTGAGACTGGGTAACTTTTAAAGAGCAAAGAGTCACTCTACAGTTCAGGAGACTGGGAGACTCAAGTGCCTGGGGCCTCATCTGGAGAGGCCCGTGATGCTGTGTCACAGCATGGTGGAAGGCGGCACCTAGGAAGCAGGAGACAGAACTCCAACCCTTCTGCAGTCTGCAGTAATCCATTCACAGGGTGGCGTCCTCATGACCTAAGCGCCTCGCCTACCGTGGCCTCCCTCCCAACACTTTACCCTGGGGATGAAGTTACCGGCTGTCAGAACAGGGTCAGAGGAATGGCAGGTGGTGAGCAGCGCCACGCGGAACTGCGAGAGAGGCTCCAGGAGAACGGCGGAGGGTGCGTTTTGTTCCCTGGATTGTTCTTGGATGTGGTTCTGTGCCTCCCGTGTTAAACATTTGCATTGGGTTTACAAGGCATGTTTATTCTTGTTGGATGTCGGAACGTAGCTATAGAACCCAGTCTGGTGAAAGGACGTGCTGAGTGCTGTCCCCAGTGTGCCCTGAATCTGCATACGGCCTCTGCCTTGCTCTCCTGCTTTCCCAGATGCAGTCTGTCGTATGCGGCAGGCAATTGTGTTTAAACTGGTCTGTCCTGAGAAAGTTCTGGGGAAGGGCTGCTCTGTTCATATTTAGTATGTGCTTATTGGTGTTTATTTAACACGTTTGCCTGAACTCAAACAACCTTCCCGGGACCACTGCTTTCTTTGTTACATCTGTGTATAAAAGTCCACTGAAAGTGAAGTCAAATGGTCTGCAGCAGTAGACTGTAGTCCGTCCCCGTTCTTCAAGGTCCTCAGATCCCAGCTCTCGCAGACACTGAATGCCTGAAGACAGTCTGGAGACAGCTCAGTGTGGCTTTGGCCAAGGGAAACAACACATACTGAGGAGACCTAGGGGCCTCCACCGCATCTGCTGTTTGGTCCAGGTACCGTTGCAAAGAGCCCTGACCCCGCACATGCCTAGAATGAACTGATTATGGGAGAATGCTAGCAAGGCTTAGAAGACATCCAGCAAAGGTCTGTGCTCCTGGCAGTGTAGGGACAGTGCTGAACACCATCTCTTTCTGACTCAGAAGTCAGCAAGAAACCCACCAAGGGATGCTGGAATGCACACTGCAAGATGCCAAAAACAGGCCAGGGCTTCCCAGACAAACTGTCCCCTTGCCTTTTTGTTACTTTTCTGCTTGTTTGTTTTTCGAGACAGGGTTTCACTACGTAGTTTTGGTGCCTGCCCTGGATCTCGCTCTGTAGCCCAGGCTGGCCTCGAACTCACAGAGATCCGCCTGGCTCTGCCTCCCGAGTGAGTGCCGAGTGCCGGGATTAAAGGCGTGCGCCACCACCGCCCGGCTCCCCTTGCCTTTTTAACCCAACCACAGCTTACACAGTTTCAGTGTAAGTTGCCTTGGGGACTCTATGACGGACATTCTGGTTTGAGTCTCTCAGACTTTCTTCTTCAGCAAAGGTCGGAGGAACGCTCAGCATAGTGTCTCCTCTGCACAGTGAATGAATGGAACCCTGCCTTTCTCATCGGGCCCTCCCAGCAGTGACTTGGGTTTCCCCTCCCACCGGAGGTATACGGACCACTGATCTCAATTACTTCCATGTTAGTGAAGAACTCGAACTTTCGGGCTTCAGTGCTTTAATTTCAACTCTAGGAGCACAGCAAGGGCTCTGTTCACCCAACCCCCGCCCCAGGCTGCCCAGCCCAGCCCCGGCTTGCTACTATGGCTCAGCCATGCTGCTGGCACCATGCTCTGGGCTCCCTGATTTCCTCCGAGGACATGTGCTCTCCCCAAGACCCTGCACACAAAAGGAAATGGATTTTTCACTGTTCTCAATGGCTGACAATTAAGAAAAGATGTTAACAGAAGGGAGTTGGGATGGGACTGCTCCAAGTTTATTCTGGTCACACAGGAAACATCTTGAGCCAATCACATTGGATCTTTAGGTGAGTATGTGGCATGCTTGTTTTCCCCACAGCATGCCTGTCTCCTAGGTTTTTTTGTTCTTTAAACAAGGAGCAAATTTTTTTTTTTTTTTTTTTTTTTTTGGTTTTTCGAGACAGGGTTTCTCTGTGTAGCTTTGCGCCTTTCCTGGAGCTCACTTGGTAGCCCAGGCTGGCCTCGAACTCACAGAGATCCGCCTGGCTCTGCCTCCCGAGTGCTGGGATTAAAGGCGTGCGCCACCAACGCCCGGCAACAGGGTTTCTCTGTGTAGCTCTGGCTGTCCTGGATCTCACTCTGTAGACCAGGCTGTCCTCCAACTCACAGAGATCCACCTGTCTCTGCTTCCCAAGTGCTGGGACTGCCTGGCCTCTTTTTTTGCCTTCTTTACAGAGTTTTTGTGGCTTTTGAAGTTTAGTTGAATTTTTTTTTTTTTTTTTTTTCAGAGCTGAGGACCGAACCCAGGGCCTTGTGCTTGCTAGGCAAGCGCTCTACCACTGAGCTAAATCTGCAAACCCCCAAGGAGCAAATTTTTACTCATCATGTTATCCTTCACTTTAAATTCTGCAGCTGCCTGGATGGGGAGTGGGTTGAATGAGGGGATATCCATCTTTCCCCCTCCCCCACATGGACAGCTTTTTACATGGCTCATAGCACCCTACTTGTTGGTTGGTTGTCCATCATGGTGGTGTAATTGTGTATATCTTTAGCTAGTTAACATCTGTCACCTTCACCAGACTATAATGTAGTCATGGAAGAGGCCGAGGAGGTGTGCACTATATGACCAATGCTTAG